TCTTGTGCAGTGGTCGGTTAATAAGAACATTAGCTGATGTTAGATACGGCAACCATCATTTCACCACTGTGGAAATCGTATACAATGTTGTTTCCTTCATCATAGCAATTATTACCACAGTTGCTTTTACAGTTTATGCAAAGAGAGCTTTAAACAATCTTGGTAACCGAGAGACCGAAATAGAGGATGGGTCCGCCTCTTACCAGGGTAGCCTAGAGATGGAGAAGCTTCCGGATGAAAAGAGGTAAGCTTGTTGGACTCATTGATTTAACGAGTTAGGAATGTATGATCATTTCTCAGTTTTCATCATTTTAGACTAGATTTCTGTCGTTGATCTTTGTGTGTAAATAAAATTAAACAGCGTAAAATATACCATACAAAATTTGACATGTTTGCGAAACACTTCTTCCCTGTTTGCTTTGCGCCTATGGCTTATTGAAATTGTCCAACTAGTCGGTGGTTTCTGATCATTTGGGTTGGCTTGAGTCGACATGAATTGCAATGTTTTAAGTTGAGCTGTCAAAAATCGGAAAAGGTTATGACCGGTAAGAAATTTAAAATATATCAATTATATGCGTTATTTCAAAATTTTAACATTTTTTGTGTAATTAAGAAATTTTTGCCAAATTATATAATGGTGAATAATTTTGTGTAATATTATTTTATGAAAGTAGCTAGTTTTATTAAAAAGAGGAAATATCAAGAATTATAATGAAGGTTTACCGTTATAATAGTAAACTAAACACAATATAAATATATTTTTATAATTATTAGCACATGAAACTAGTCATTTAAGATTATATAAGGATTATACAAGGAAAAAGTAAAAAAAAAACTAATAAAAAATTCAAACAAAAGATAAATATGAATAAATCTGAGTACATTGGTAGACAAATTATAAAAAGAGATTAAATTACTGAAAAATCACCGATAAATTGCAAATAAGAGTCGAGCGGCATGAGAAAACTATCTACGAATATAATCACATATTTGAATCTAATTCAATGGTCTAAAACAGAAAAGATCAACATAATAATAAATAAGTATCATCTTTATCAGTTGTGGTAATTTCAAATCTAACTTAGAGAAAAAGATAAATGAATACAATGATCAAACGATTGAAAACATTTATAAAGACAAAAAAAACATATCATAAAAACATATTTATTAAAAACTAAAAAAAATCAAAGATGTATAAAAAAACCAAAACAAGAAATATCAACAACGACAATCAGCATGAAGATTGATCATAATCTAATTTTGTGTAATACTTTTCTTTTAATAATATAGAGTGATTACAAGATAGTTTAGGGTGATTATAAGGTAGTATCTGTTTAGAATTTTTTCTAATTATTAATAACATATACTCGTAGATACAATTGCTTGAACTTAAAATCTTTAAAGAAAACAATATCTTTTTTAATTATTGATATCACTTTGTTCGTTTAATCTTATATAATACTTAAACATTCGTATAAATTACTTAATTCATAATATTGTGTAATTGAAATCATTTATGTAATTGATTACACTTTATATAATTTTATTTTATAAATTTACCCTCGTGATACGACGTAACACATTGTATGCTTATGACCATAATCTAAATGACTAAACTATAAAATAATACCTTTAACACTTTAATTTTTTTTTCAAAGAAGTTCTTATATTTTATTGTGCTACTCAACTAAACTCTTATTTTATGTAATTATTTCACCCCTAATATTCTAAATCTTTATTTTTTTTTTCAAATTATTTCACCTTAACATTTAAATTATTTATTTTAATCTCAAATTATTTTAAATTTAATATTGTTTTATTGTTTTATTTTATTTTTAATTATATAATTTGGTTTTATAATTTTTACGTTTATATTATGTATTATAAATTTATAAGTTTTTTATGTGATTTTAAAAAATAATATAAATTAATAAAATAAATATTAATCGTGTACTCGTGATTCGAAAATGCAAGTACCCGAATTTTATGAGTATTCGACTTACAAGTATCCATCTCTTACGGGCCGAGACAAAGGATAAATTTTTGTGACCCGAAAGTCATGAATACCCGACATTACCGGTACCCGAAGACGCAGTACTCGAATTTGAACACTAGTAACTTAGACTATCAATACACTGAATACAAATCCTATATTATCCTAATTCCATAAATATATAGATTTAATTAAGGGAAAACAAATATGGACAGAAAATCCAAGATTATCAAAAAAAATCTAGGCGTGTATCCGTAATTTATTCCCCAGATTTGCATTCCAAAACATAATTTGTATTCTGGATTATTAATTATAAAACATTTAGGTCCCTCAATAAATTACTTTGAAAATCAATGTAGAAAGACAATCAGAAAATATGAATTATCCAAACCCTGCAATATTCCCGTTGCTTACATTAGCATTATTACTATTATCATCACTTCCATGTCCTGCAACATCACACTCTTCTTCTTCTTCCCTCGACAATTTTCTCCAATGCATTGCTAACAAATCCGCTCCATTGCTCGAATCAGTTTACACCCCTACTAATCCCTCTTTCGATCTTGTTCTTCGAGCACTTATCCGAAACCGCAGATTCTCAACGCCGAAACCGGTTGCGATTGTTGCACCTACTCGTGTCTCCCATGTCCAAGCGACCGTTTTTTGTGCAAGGGGTACGGGCGTGTAGATCAGGATCCGAAGCGGTGGTCATGATTATGAGGGCCTTTCGTATAGATCGAATGTCACATTCGTCATTCTCGACATGTTCAATCTTCGATCGATTGAAGTTGATGTTAGTAAGGAGGTTGCCTATGTTCAGGCTGGTGCCACGCTTGGTGAACTTTACTATAAAATTGCTAATGCAAGCAATGTTCATGCTTTCCCTGCGGGAGTCTGCACCGGTCTCGGCACCGGTGGTCATTTCAGCGGCGGTGGATACGGGAAATTAATTAGGAAATACGGTCTCTCGGTGGATAACATTGTCGATGCTCAAGTTGTTGAAGTTAACGGCAAGATAATCAACCGGGCATTGATGGGTGAGGATCTATTTTGGGCCATTAGAGGAGGGGGTGGAGCAAGCTTTGCTGTCATTGTTGCATGGAAGATCAAGCTGGTTCGGGTTCCGGCGAAAGTGACGGTATTCAACGTGCCGTTCACTTTAGAGCAAGGTGCAACTGATGTCGCCTTCAAGTGGCAACAAGTTGCACCTAAACTGCCTGATGTTCTCTTCATAAGGCTACAACCATCTGTTGTAAATGGTACTATATTAGTTAAATTGATCGGCATGTAGGAGAATCCGATCGACTTGTTCCACTTGTGAATCAAAGCTTCCCTGAGTTGAACATTACGAAATCTGATTGTAAAGAAATGAGTTGGCTCGAATCGACTCTTTACTGGGACAATTTCCCTCCCGGAACACCGGTAGAAGCTTTACTCTATTGAACACAAGGGGCACGAGATTATTCGAAGAATAAATCGGATTATGTCAAGACTTTGATTCCAAAATCCGGTCTGGAGACGATATGGAAGTTGTTAATCGAGTTGGCGAATACTACAACCGCAAACGTGATAATGCAATCGAATCCATATGGAGGTAAATTCAGTGAAATCCCAGCATCAAGCACTCCGTTTCCTCATAGATCCGGGAACTTGTTCTTGGTTCAGTACATTATTTTCTGTGACGAAGAAGAGCTCAACGTGACCGACCATAACGTCGATCGAGTTCGATACATGCATGATCGGATGGCTCTGTTTGTGTCGAAAGAGCCGAGCGAAGCATTTCTTAATTATAGAGATAATGACATCGGTAGCACTGCAAGTGACAACCAATTTCAGTGATGCTCTAGTCTATGGGAGCAAGTACTTCAAGGATAATTTCCCGAGGTTGACAACGGTGAAAGCTATGGCGGATCCCGACAACTTCTTTAAGAACGAACAAAGTATTCCTCCAAACATCAACTGACGTTCATCCACGGCCTTCGGTTGATTGTATTCCTATTCCTATAATAAATTAATATGTAGGAAGTGATTGTCCTCAAGCAATACATAGTGATTTCTCATGTTAAATATGGATCCTTAAATTAGAAAGGACAAGACATTAATTTTTTTTAATGGTAATATATCCTTTCAGTGACATGTTTTTGGAGATCATGAACATGTATAGAACATAAAAATTCAAGGATAAAATAATCATTTTATCCTTAAAATAATTGAAATAATATTGAACTTATAATCTGTTATTTGTAAATTAAAAAGAAGAAAAAAGAGAACTTATAATATGTTTTTTCTCATGTGCGCACATAAATGGTTCGAAGAATTGAAGTGAGCAGTTTTGCATTTGCGTCTTTGTTGATGGATCTACAGTGTATCACTGTAAGTTTTTTACATGTATATTCGATATACCTATTTTGTTTTGTAAATGGTCCTTTTTACCTATTATGGTTATTAGTAATCATTTTGGTTTGTAATAGTAAATATATGGTTACTATTTACTAATTTATAGGTACACATACACAGTTTGCTAATGATATGAATACATTAATACTATTAGCACGATTATAAATAAATAGGTGCAAAAGTATTGAAGTTTATAAGTAAATTGTTTTTGTAGTAATTGAAAATACGTGGCCAACAACTACCGATCCATGGTTACCACGAGCAACAATACTAATAGCAGGATTCCCTGCAGTAATTGGACATGCACAATTGACATTTATCTCGAGGGTGTGCACAGAAAGCTTAATCCAACGTGGATTAATGTATAGGATGCAGTCATCGACCGGCACCAAGGTGGCTTAAACAGCCGAAAGTGCCGACCCGCCTTGCTTTCTGCTTTAATATGTCAGCCAGGAATTAGACAACCTTCGTGTAGAGACACTTTGCTACTCATGACTGGCAAATCAGGGAGGTACAAAGATTGTTGTCAATACGAAATACAAGGTAATCTACTAGTAGCATCGAACTTGGATCCATATATGGACATTTGGATGTTAGCTTCCAAAATAAAAACAATGCATTAATTTTCTACAAAATAATTGGGATTTCAAATTGTTGGAGACGAAAGAAGTAAACAATTAAAAATTCATATACACAAACAACTCAATGTGGATAGAAGAAAGAAGAAAGATGAGATGCCAACCCCCCATAGATCATACTACAAAACTAAAATACAAGCACAAGTAACTAATGTCCAATACCAAGCTAGCCTACCAAATTATCTAGCCTTCTCTGCTGCCTTAGTTTGAGGAAGGGTTCCAAAAACTCGGTCCCAAAACGCTGAAGTGATCCCAAACCCCTTGTTTTGAATCCTAAAGTGATGGTTCAAGTGATATTTCTGCAATAAAAAATGATCAAATCAACCCATGGAACACTCTACCAGCTTTGCTACAGACAATGAACTCTATGGAGCTCAAAATTTATATTGACAACCTAATCGAGATAATCGGTGTTAAACTAGCATGATAAGTTGGCTGCAATTAGTTGGAGCACAAGTCTCTTTACCTTGAGGTTTTTAGGAACTTGGTTGGTGGGCTGACCATGGTGTAGGTAGTAATGCGTAACATCATACATGACATACCCAAGCAAACCGCCTCCAAACAAAGCAGGCGTAGTGGATGGAGTGGCGAAAAGCTTAATCAGGTGCCAAAACTGCGCAAAACAGTTAAGTGGAAAGCAAAGAATTAAAATAATTCAAAGATACATGAATTGCACAAGTAACAAAATGCTTTTGATGTGAACCTCTACGGTTCAAGGTTTCAAAACACAAACTATTATCATAACCCAGCAGCCAACTAACTATTTCAATGGTAAAGACCTAGAAAACATCATGCAATATATGAAGGAAGAAGAATTGGAGTAAAATATACACACCGGAATGCATAATATAGCAGCTGCAGCAGGAGGAAAAACAAGCCTTAGGCCATCCATAGGGTGCTTGTGGTGGCAGCCATGAAGAAGATAGTGTATGGTATTTCCCCTGTAACGAAGTTCTTAATGAATTATTACATACTACTACCATACTGTGAAGGTTAACATATGCAGAAAAACGTAATAAAAGCTGTAAATGTGTGTGTGTGTTTTTTAAAGAGTCAAGAGTCCAGAAGAGAAAGAACTAACCAATAACTCTTTGTTTCAATGTGGAAAAGGAATCGATGCAAAACGTATTCCACTAATGTCCACATAAAAATGCCAAAAGCAACCATTAAAGCAATTTGGGGAAATGTATGCCCCATACGTATAGACATTGAGATGAACCAGCAAACAACAGGCAGCCATATGGTTGGAATTGCCCACCAGACAGTACGAGTCAATGACTGTTTCGAGTAAAGCAAGCCAAAGAAACATTAGAACACATGACATATTCTATCGGTAATGCTTAATCAAAAGCATTTAAAAATGCAAATAAATACCTCCCAAAAATCACTCTCGAAGAACCTCGGACCTTCCTTACTCACAATAGGCTGGTGAATCCACTCCTGATAACTCTCTCCAAGGTGACCAACCTATCATAGATCATGAAACAGTCAAAATATAGTTTATAACCATAAACCAATATCAATCTCCCACATGCCTAAGATTACTAAAAAGTATTTAAAATGCAACAAAGAAGAAAGAGCATGTAGCTCACGAAATCTATGAATGAAACAGAACAAGAAGTGGTAAAGAAGTTAGCTTGTGATTTAACACCATCAAAAAATCAAATCAAGCAAATAAACAAAAGAACTAAAAGGTTCAACTAAACAATATTTTTTTTTTCAAAAGACAGTTCAATATGTCACTATTGTAATCACATAAGAAACTAAATATGAGAGATGAAAAAACCAATTACACCATAGCTGTCACCTACACATGCTTGTTCCAAAAGATAAAACCAAAATGAAACTCGTGATTTCGGTACCTGGAAGACAAGGGGTTTATCCAAATCAACGGTGAAATTTTGTGCAACCATCTTCACAACAGCTTTAAAGGGAAAAACATGATTAGCAAAAGGATCAAGAATTTGCAAGAAATCTAAAAAAAAAAGGAACAAGGATCACACAAGATTCTACTTATCACAGTAATGTCTATGGAATTTGCACCATTTATTTAGAATCAAATTTCCAATTTTCAAACACATCTTGACACTCACCACTCGAGGGTAAAAAGAAGGAATCAGATTCCCATAGGGACGAACCATAGAATTAATCAAAAAGTTAAAATTATAAAAATACTAAATAAATATCCGTTTACATCATTTTTCAGCCATCAAACGGAAAAGAAAAACTGCAATACGAAATATAGCAAATCAATCACTTCCACACCAAGAATGAAAACCAGATTCAAGTATGTGTCTAGTACCCAGATTTTCTCAACACCCAAACAGCATAACAACACAATGTACTGAAATGAACCATCAATGAAACCGCACAATCCAGAAGAAAAAAGAAAGCAAATTACAGCAGATCTAGATATTAAAAACAAAAAGAAAACCCCAATAAGAAGCAAACAAACCAAAGACAATGTAGATTGAATCTCAGCCAAAGAGAGTGAAAAAGGCAGCAAGTGAATGTAGAGAGCAGGAACAAGATTCCTGTTTTAGTGAAGCAAAGAAGAAAAGAGTGAGAAAGAAGAGGAAGATTGATGTTTGGGGTGTAGAAGTGTGAATAAATCGTGGGAGCAGATCTGAGCCATTGATATGAATAAAGGGATTTGGTTGGGCATGGAAGAATAGAAAATGGCAGCGATTCTTTCTCGCGTTGGATTCGAAATTTTTAACGGTTGCCAGCCTGGCGTTTCTACGATCCAGCTTCCTAACTGCGTGGGGGTTGGAGAATTATGTGGCGGATACATACGGACATATACACGATTTTATCTTAAAAAAATAATCTTTAAGAATAACGAATCTATAAAATTTTATTAGATAAAATTTTATTATCAATAAAAACTGTGAAAAAAATTGAAGGGGACGATTACCTCTGCTCACCCCCTTTTGGTATATCTCTATTCACATGCATTGTAACAATACGAGTGTTGATGTGTTGAATTAATTTTACTTATTTTTACAGTTAGTTAAGTCGTTTATTTTTATTATCTCATATTCTTTATATCATGAATTTTAGTCTCATTAAGTGCATTCTCATTTCTTCTCTTAGAGTCCTCTCTTCTCTTTTCCTCTAGATAAAATTAGGGATAGACATGGGTCGGGTTTCAACCAACACGACTTGAAAATTTTACATTCCTCATCGACCCGGCCCCATCAAACCCAAAAAATATACACCCTCCACCCTATTCGAACCCAATCTGACTCGATCCGAAATAATAATTTTTTTTTATTTTTATTCAATAAAAATAATGATTTAATTAAAAAAATAATATATAAAGGGTATTATTGTAATTATTCTTAAATATATAAGGTAAAATTATATTTTTTCGAGTCAGATATTTTTCACCTTAAACTCAAATCCGACCCGACTCGAACTTGAAATTTAAAAAAAAATCAATCAGATTCGATCCGATCTGATTTTGATTTGGTCGGGTCGGAACCTGTCGATTCGAGTCATATGCCCATCCCTAGGTAAGACTAGGAATAATTTTAGAATTTGTAAAAAAAAAATTACTTTATCATAAGGGTTTAAGGGGGTGTTTGGTTCAAGGATTGTGGGATTCTCATGGGATGAGAATCCCACATTTCCATGTTTGGTTGGCCGGGAATCTCATTCCCGGTAATGTTTTATTACCAATAGTAGATTTTTTGGAGTATATTACCGGGAATGTCATTACCTTCCTTCCCTTAGGTATTGTAACATTACCGGCGTTTTGGACTAAAATAGCCTTAAATTTTTATTTTTTTTTTCTTCAAAAATATCCTTCTTCTGTCATTGAATAATAAAAATTCTACGAAGGTTAAATTACAAATTTATCCTTAAATTATTTTAGATTTACAAAAAAAGTCTATAATTAAAATTTTATATGAAGTTTAGGGGTTAAAAAAATTTACCCTTTCATTAAACCTTTTTTATATTTTTAATTTTGTAAAAAAAAATTATATAAATATTATGAATTTAATTTTTTAAAGAAAATATATAAATATTTTACAATTTGTAATATTATACAAATATATAATAAGGACAATTTGGTCAAATATATATTTCAATAATCTTTTATTCCTTTAACTAAACACGGTAATCTTACATTCCTGCTAAACCAACCAAACACAAAATACAACATTCCCATTAATCATATTCCCTGGTAATCTTTTATTCCCACTGGTAATCTTACATTCCGTGAACCAAACGCACCCTAATAGTTATTTGGTATATGTACTATACTTGTTTTTTAGGATAAATTATCTATTTGATTATTCAATTGATTGTATTTATATTTTGATCACCTGATTGATTTTTTTTTGATAAAATCATTATTTACGTTATGTTTAGTTTCATTTTAATATTTGTCATTATTTTTGATCGTCGATTGAACATGAATTATGTAATGACTTGTTATAATAGTAGTTTTAATTCTTAAAAGTTATATATTCAATCAATTTTAATCTTAATTTAAAATAACTTAATAGATTTAATTTACTCAATATTTAAATATCCTATCAATTTACTCCATTTTTATCTTCTTATTCTTCCTCACATGTTCGTATTTAAAAAAAAAATGAACAATCATCTTACTTTTTAAAAACTGACGATAACACCATCATACACACACCACTAACGACATCTTTTTCTTCTTGAAATTATAAATTTATCTATAACATTATGCTTTAATTATATTACGATCACCTGCCTATATAATTAAAACGATAAGTTTGATATCTACAGAAAGATTAGTTGAGTGATTAGAACATAAACACATTCATAATTAAGTGACCAAATGGTTAGTTTAATCATTTTTTAACCGAAAATAAAGAAAATAGATATGCTAATGAGTAGGTTTAGTTGGCATTTGCTCTATTTCGTATCTAATTGAGTGAGGATGGTTATATATTTCGCAAGAAATAGGGTAAGAATAGAGATAAAATATAGATTTGTTATAGGTGGTATGGCAAACGTGAGTATGACCTTGTACTTGTCTCATCTCCATCTGTCTTGTCTCCTCCTTACCGGTCCAATATACATAATAAACAAATTTTAAAAATAAACATCTCAAAAAAATAATTTTAGAAATTGAAAACTTATAAAATTTTAAAAAGACGAAAAATAAAATTTCAATAAAAATACATAAAAAATATTAAAAATACATGATAATTTTAAATATTTAAAAAATGATTGTCCCCACTCATCCCCTCGATCCCGGGTGGAAGAGTCCTTGAAAGCCACCATCCACGTAAGTGTTTTTACTCCACATACATGTGCTCTTTGAGTTTTCAGTTTTTCTTCGATCTTTTGTGTAATGTAAAATATATTATACATTCATTCATGAGTACGTCATTTTAGTATATATTGAATACATTTACTAAATATTTTATACACTATAAGAAATAACTTTAGAAATTGATATAATTTATAATGAGTAATCATTGTAACCATTCTGTTTTATCACATACATTATTAATAGATACGTACATAAGAATTTATTTTAAGAGATAAAATTAAAAAAAATTACAAATTTTAGAGATAAAACATATATATATATTTTATTTTCTATTGATAATCTATCTAGAATTTTAAAAATTTGCCCATTCTAAAACTTTAAAAGTTCGTCTCTAACATAAAACCATATATCCATGCTCAACTACCCACATCATAATTGGAAGTAGAGGCTTAAACAAGATAAAGTGTGTCACATGACTTGTTACTTGCAGGACTGATTATAGAGGAAGCTGGCAGGTGGCTGATTTAATTTATGTATTTAATGTACCAAAAAAATTAATTAAACAACTACTTATGAAACATACAATTCATACATGATCCTAAGTAAATGTCGTTATTAGTAGTAATTACAAAGACTTACAATTCTTATGTAAATAATTTAGTAGCCAAATCGTAGTTACACACAATTTAATGAAATTAAAAGTATTTTAGGTTTAAGTTAAGATCAAATTCAAAAACAATATTCAATCTCGCGCCTGACATATCCAAATAATTTTTTATTTAATTTAAAACTAATAAAAATATAATTTTATTTTTTCTCAGTAAAATATAAATTTTATATTAATATAAATATTAATATATTTTATAGTACATTTTGACTTTATTCAAGTTTTTTAATCCGACTCCAAAAATAAATCTTAAATTATATTTATATTTGTTTATATTTATAAAGATTTGTTATATATTATATAACATATTACCTTAAATTTTATATTAATACTTAGAAAACAAGTTTGAGGATATTAGGATATATTAAAATAATATGATAATAATTTTTATATTAATATAATTAAAATATTTTTTTATATTTACATTCGTCCGAATCTAGTTTACTTCATCAAAAAGTATAAGGACTCGAACCATTTACCTTATTTGAAGAATCTAATACCTATTCTCATTAGACCAACTAATGATAGTTTAAAATGAATAATTTGATCATCAAACATGTGCATGTCTAATACAATTATTAATTTGTTACCTAATCATTTCCTAACTTTGATCTTTCCATCTAAATGAGTTTCATATATGAAAAATTTATTTTTGGCAAAATTGTGTTGTTAAAATTGGCACATGTGCGAGTCAAAGCCATAAAAATCAATCCGTATAAGCAAATCTAATTGCATCACCTCAGCAGATCCCAATTCCAACGTCCTAAATCAATGAGTATGCTCATTTGGGTTTGACCCATCTAATTATTGTTTTATTTATTTTTCTAAGCAGTAATTTTCACTTAAACCGACAGTCTTTCCTCGTCAAATATTACATTTAACTTCATTTTCACCAACTTTTATGATTATTGTTAGAATATCTAGAAAAAGTAACCGGGAATGATATGTAAACTTATTGGGTGACCTCAATGTTAAAAGAATAAGTATTATTTTTTCTAAAGAACCCAAATTCGAACGTGTACATCTACGAGACGTGTATACATTATCAATGACCAAGATTCTATATAAGCATTACCTCGTAAGACTTTTCAATATATATACACATTCACTGCACTACTTTACAGACATAATTAACCGTCTTTTTTAACCATTTTTTTCATTTCTTTTTACCCTACGTTACCAATGACCAAGATTCTATATAAGCATTACCTCGTAAGACTTTTCAATATATATAGACACATTCACTGCACTACTTTACAGACATAATTAACCGTCTTTTTTAACCATTTTTTTCATTTCTTTTTACCCTACGTTACATGATTATTTAGTCTTTTCTTCACTCTACATCAAATACCATACTAAGTACAAAAAAGAGTTTAAAAAATTGCAGTTAGAGAAATCACAAATAAGCATTATTTCAAACAGCTCCCAACTGTACATCCACATGGATGTTTTCACCTTTCACTTGTGACTACAACAAAAAAGTTTACCTGTGACAAATTATCTGCTTAAGCACCATTCACCTCAAGCAAAGTAGCATACCCTGCATATAAATCACATCCACATACATCTTCCTAATACCTAATTATGCTTCCAATACCCTAACTCTTCGACAACAAAAAATGATCAACCTGCTTCAACTTCACTGAATAAATGGTGTCTAAGACTATGGCAATAGTTATAATACTTCCTCGTGATAAATGAAAAATATCGTGCTTTCCTACATTTTTGCTTCTAATGTGGTGTTAGATCATAGTAGCATAAATATTTCCAGCATTGCTTCTATAATTATGCCTTAAATACTCCCTAAAAGCATGGCAGTTGTTTATCCAGTTGACATGAACAGATAGTGCCTATGACTATTGAAACAGTTCCTACAAATTTCATGTAGGGAATGAATAATGAAATGATCTTCTGCATCTTTAAATAAAACTAGTGCCATGACATGAAACTGAGGATCATCTTTGAATGTCATGTTAATACCGTAATCTATTTGTGCATCAAGTCCAGATGCATGCTGTGTGATGCAGTTTAACCTAATATAAAACAGTAGTCCAATACCAAGGTTTGGTTAATGTTCAACATGAGGTAGAATAACACACAAATTAACCAAAACTGTAGACAATGCGCTACTTCTACAAATATCATATTTATCTGAACCTATAAAGTTAAACTGGCATAAAATATGCTGCAGATAAATGCATGCCTTAAATTGTATAACTTGAGCAAATGGTGCACTCATGATACCACCATGTGAATTCAAACACACGAAAAAGAGATGCTAATGCTGATGCTGATGATGAAATGGATGCATCCTAGCATATATTGTCGGACAACACAAAACAGAGAAAATCTCCATGATCTACTGGTAAGTAATAGCTGGTGGAGCCCCATTTGCACTGGGGGAAGCAACAAGATTCCCGAAGTCCTTCCTTTTACCAAAAGGATTCTTTGAATATCTATTACAAAGTCAAGAAAGAAAACAATGTTCACAGAAGCATTTATAATAAAGTTATGGATTGAACATGTAAAGCTAATAACATAACTAAAAAAAAAGGGCAGAGCCAGGTGGGACTAGTGAGTGCAAGTAAGTCCCCTTGCCTTGCCCATATTCTTGATTTAGCCGTATGGAAATTTTTACTTTTCTCACTTATTTTGATGTGGCCCTCTTTATTTTCCTAATTTCATTCTTTCGCATTCAACATATTTAAAATGTTCCACTCTTGAGAACTTGCAAAAATTAGAAAGATAAAAACTATCAAGCAAGGTTATCTCAGTTTCCAAAGTTAAGAATTGCAACCCACCCACTGACCCACCCAAAAAAAACTTCGTTTTTTCCCCTCCAAACCCTAGCTCATTCCCAGACTAGAAAGAAATTAAAGAATTTTACTCCACTCCTATGCTAAGATAACAAGAAGCAAGATGGAGTGACTGTTAGTTAGAAAACCTGTCAGAACCGTAACAAACAAGAAGAATCAATACTTAAACCCATGAAATTGCACATGAATAAAGCACCAACTATAAGCAACAGTTGACATGAAAATGGAAAGAAGCAAGAATACTTAACAGGGTAAAGCAACAACAAAATACAAAAAGGATACTGTATTCGCATGCCAACAGAACCAGAACTGGGGATCACAGCACCCTGTAAACTGTGGTGCACATTGGTTGCAGTACTCACATCCTGCAACATGGTGAACAAACTCTTAGGCGTATGAAAAAACACCAAGAAAGTTTCATCCCACAGATAACGGTTAGCATCCAAGCAGATAAAGAAGAAACTTACTTCAAACTCTATAAAGCAAACAGTATGCCTCTCTTGTTTCAAGATCTTCATTTGCTTAAAACCAGGTTGACTGCATGTAAAGCAGAAGTATGAAATAAACCAAGCTGTCATCAGCAAACAGCCCAAAACTCAAATACGAAGTAAAACAACTCGGAAACTAGCCGGTGGATAACTCATTCTTACGTGCTGAATAGGCTCCTTAATTCTTCCTCATTAATATTCTCTCCAAGATTGCCAATAAATAAGGTATTGCAAGGAGGGTTATCTTTGGTATTCTGCCAACGAAAATATCGTTAAAAGTAAATGGAGAACCTCTGAAACTTACTAGGCTACTGGATGTACAATAATAGAGAAAAAAAACAAAAGAGTATCACTCTAGAAGAAAAAAAATAAACTGGTTATAACAAGGAACGGAAACTTGAGAGAATCTGTAACATCCGCAATACCGGGTTAGTGACCAAATTGTAAAGTTTCAGAATTTGGTGACTAAAGTATAAGAATGAAATAGTTCAATGATTATTGGATATATATAATGTTATTTAGTAATTAGTAAAGGAAATAAAGGGCAAAAGGGTCAATTGACCAAGAAATGAATAAAAAAATGGGATTGGTAGGATAAAGGCACGTGGAAAGGGAGAGAATTCTCCAGAGTTCTCTTCTCCTTTCTTCTTCTTCTTCTTCACGTGGAAGACAAGAGCCAAAGGTAAGTTTCTTTGTTTATAATTGAATTGTTGATTTTAAGGTTGGGTTTTAATTATTAGATGATAACTAAGCTTAAGGAAAGCTTAAATCATCTTAAAAGCAAAGGATGGTGGAGTTAGGAGAGATTAAAGATTTAGAGTTTACAAATGAAATCTTGGAATAAAGTTCATTTCTTAGATTGGAAGTTAAATTTGACTTGTCAATGGTTAAATTAAGAGATTTGGAGTGATAGAATTGTATGTAGATCATATAGAAAATTTGGTATGATTCTTGAATCTCATAAGGAAGATAGGATTTTGAGGTTAAAGATGATTTACATGGATATAAGTTGGTTCAAGTTATAGTAGTTAAGTTTAATGTCATAAGAGGGGCTTAAAATAGAAGAATTAAGGGAAGAGTTGATGATTTACGTGCTAAAATGTCAGTTCTGGGCAATGTGCATCGATGCACATTCATTGTGCACCGATGCATAAGTAGTGCATCGATGCATCCCCATTAAATACAAACATCGAATAGGATTTATGCATCGATGCATGGTGTAGTGCATCGATGCATACCTTCATTAAAAGATGAAATTGGCTTTTCTTTGAGACTAAGGAGTGATAGTTTCGAATATATCAATCAGTACACTGATAAGTATTAATGTATTATTATGTAGATATAGAATGAAAGCTTGTTCCGGAACAAACTAAGGATTAGGATTGATTCAAACAACGAGGCCCAGGTGAGTGCATACTAGTGATATGTAGTGTTTAATGGAAATAAGACTCGTGATGAGTCCATTTCCTAGAGTAATATGCATGAAGTCATGGACATGATTATGTGTAGTTATAATTATATGTGATTATCTGTATTACATTGATTGTATGTATGCATGACTAAAGATAAGGATATGCTTTGTATATGTTATATGATGTATGTAAGACTTTAATATGGAATAATGGAAGAACATGAAATAAGTTATATGATAGAGTCATAATAAATGAAATGAATATGAGAGAATAAGATAATCAAGTATAAGTTATATGATATGGTATAAGTAATTATACGAGAAATGTTAGGAGACTCTAAGAGAATAGTATGAATTTGAGGGCATAAATAAGGATACATAAGTAATATAGGGAAGATTGATAAATTAAAGGAAACTATGGTTTATGTATTATAGTGAAGAGCTACAAAGTTTTATTAAAGAGTATTGAGGAAGTCATGAGAAATGGAACTAAATAAATAGATGGTTTATGTGAGTGGAAAAGGTAAATGATATAAAATAAATGGAAATTATTTATAAGATAGCATGAGACTAATTGAACATGTAATATAAACTTTATAAAGGAGTACTTGGGTAAAATCATTATATGATACAATTATAGAGTATTACTATTCAAATTATATTAAAATATGATATATGAGAATATGAGTAAGTTTATAGGATATTGATAGGACATATAAGAATATGTAAATGTATGCTGATATGAAAAAAAGGGATACAAAGAAATGGAGCATAAGGTAGATAATATTATATCAGCTATTATATATCTATATGATATATAAGTTACGTAAAAGTGTTCTAGGTGTTTCTATATGTTATATGAAGTATATGATCTTATGTGAACAAGATATGATAAGTATGTTTACATGAATAAAGGTGATTGGGTGAGAAATGATAGAAATTATACAAGAACATGAGATATGTGACATGTGAATTATATGGAAATGATCTACGTGTAAGTGAACTATGTGACTATGTGATAATATGAAAAGAAGCTATGTAATACGTGATATGTGAAAGTGAATTACATGTTTATGTGAATATTTGAAATGAAATAAATGATAATGCCCATGTTATGTGTCATGAGAGCTAGGGGTATAGTTGGCATGCCAAGAGTCGAGGGTTTCATAGGTCATTCGGGACAACTCATAGGTCCTTCGGGACAAATTCACAGGTCCTTCGGGACAAATTTCATATGCCACTCAGTGGGACTTATACGAGCTGTGGTGACAGCATTAATGCACAACCTCTATAGACTCACATATCGATAGTTCTCACATATGTACATGGGCTAATCCAGAGATATGAACAAGTATATGTTAGTGGTATGATAAACTGTTAAGGATGAATTATGTGTATGTATGTATGTATCTACTGTAGTTAATCTGATATGATTTTATATGATACGAAGAATGCATGGAATTGGTATACCATGATAGAACATAACATGCATGTATTGATATATGTTATAAAGTGCATTATAAGTTGTTATGCCTCACTAAGTCTTCGACTTAGCGTGTGATTGTTTCACACGTAGGTTTCGGGAAGAGTAAAGAGTAATGCGGAGCAAGACAGGTCAGTTCTCCTTACCAAATGTCAGATCAGAAAATATATGTACTGGTTATAGAGTGTAGTTGGCATGTAATCTAAGGATATAAATTGTATGAACTCTGATATATTTTGTAAACGTTTTGAATAAGTTAAATGTTATCAAAGTTTTTTTTTAATTACTCACTATTTTATACAAGTAAATGTTTGAAAAGTCAATGTGACACTTCGGACTCGTATCCGGGTCGGATACGGGTTGGGGGTGTTACAGAATCAAACAGCCAGAAGAAAATGTCACCGTCTAGTAAATGCAACCCTAATATAGAATCAAAAGCCATCACACAGTAGCCAAGGTAGTTATTTAAGTTCACCCCAGGCATGTTACTCCCTTAGAAATTCTCTCTCTAAAAACTGCAGAACATTGAATTATTTTACACAGTACACAGGTTTAATAATGTGATTTTTACAGCCAGAGAGGGATGTGCTCCTCATCTTTCCTAGATAAAACATAAGAGATGGAAGGTTGCAAGGTAAGGATATCGAATTCATGGCTACGAAAGAATAAAGACTTTCAGGTTAGAAGAGCTCCAAACGGAGCTAGCACACAGTATTTGAAGAAACACATTCATCCTTGTTTGTCAGAAAACAATCAATAAAAAATTTAAGCATGCAAAATGCTAAGCTTACAATCCTAAGAAAATATCTTAGATGAAAAATATTCCTTCGGTCTATCAAAACATATTAGGTAATGATGATAGAATGATAAAAATAGTTATATTCAATAGAATGAGAGTATGAGACATAAAACACACACATGCATGTGCATAATGGAAAGATGAATAGAACATAGAGAGAAAGTATTGTACTCACTTGTACCTGGACATGTTACATGCATAATACCAAACAAACATATGAAAATCTTAATCACAGATGACTACAGGAAAAGGACAAAAGTATCATCACCCTAACCAAGGAAAATCCAACTTTGCAACTGCTATAAATTCACAAAGAGAACGGGTTTGATAAAAGTATTTTTGACGATTTTAAGTGTTCATTTGATACATAATAATCTGCAATGGTGAAAATTTATATATATATATATATATAAGTAGTTTTCATTTACTTCCAGAAAATACGACACACGATGTATGCTGCATCTAAGTTTCTCAGGAACTATGAACAGCATTGTAACATCCTGAAATCAGGGTTAGTGAAAAAAATGTGAATTTTTAAAATTTGGGGATCAATTTAGGAAAAATTGAAATTTCAAGAATTTTAATAGGAATATTTCATTATTGGATGAAAGGGTAAATATGAAAGGATTATAAGGGCATTATGGTAATGTTAGCTTAAAAGATATTTTCTCCCTTTTATAAGAATGAAACACGTGGGTTTGGAGAGTTATCTGGAACTCTTCTTTTTCTTCTTTCTTTCTTCTTCCCGTGTGTTTCATGCTTAAGCCTCAAAGGTGAGTTTTAATTTTGATGCTTAATTCTTGAATATTTGAGTTGTGTTTTATTCTTTGAGTGTTATATAAGCTTAAAGAAAGCTTATATAAACTTAAAACACCAAAAGGAGAGAATTAGAAAGGATATTTGATTAAGGGTTGAGAAATGAACTTTTGTTATGGAAAGGTTTTTGAAGTTCTAAAGATGGATTTGACTTGTCAAAGGGTTAATTAAGAAGTTAGAGAGGATAGAATTGAATTAGAACACATGCAAAAATTAGATGAAATTTTTTGATTCAAGAACTATGGTGAATTATGTGAGATGATGAAGTGTTATAGTGTTATAAGAAGGTTTATACATATATAGATAAGTTTTAAGGCATAAGGAGGGGTTAATAAGTAGAATTTGAGGTCTAAGTAAGAATTTTCGGGCTCAAAATGTCATTTCTGGGTTGTGTGCATCGATGCATCTTCAATGTGCATCGATGCACTCTCAAATAAATAAACATCGAGTACAGTTGGTGCATCGATACATGAGGAGTGCATCGATGCATCCCCTTAAAATGGAAACTTCGAATGTAAATTGTGTACCGATGCATGGTAGTGCATCGATGCACCTGTTAAAGAATGCATCGATGCACTATAGAATGCACCGATGCACTTCAATGGAAAATGAAATAAATCGTTATTCAGTCTATGAAATGATAGATTAAAAGTATATTAATTGGATATTGATAGCATATATATATACATATATGATTGTGTAGACATCGATCGAAAGCAAAGTTCGGATAGGTCGACAGAGTAAGATACGCAACGGAAACAAGAGTTTAAGAGGGTTCATTGAGACCAGGTGAGTACATGATAGTAAGTGTACGTTATGTTAAGGAATTAAGACTTGCGATGAGTCTAATTTCGATATTATATGATATAAGTATTAAAGCATAAACATGTAGTGATATGGTGTTAGATGTATGGTATATGAGTAAATGCATATGTTTAATTGTTGAATGCATTTTTATGTGTGAACTACGTAAATGCCTGTATTATGATAATAGGTCATGTGATCATGAAATATATGATAAAATATATATGAAAATAATATGACTCATATGTGCTTCTATTAGAATGCTATATGATATGTTAGTATAATAAGATAGATTAGATATTGATAATAAGACATAAGATTATATGCATATGTAATATATGTTAAAAGATAAGAAATAATATGTTATATGCATATGAGAAAAAGGTATATGTGATGTGACCATGTGTGAAAAGGATGAATAATGTGAATTTCATGGAAAATGCTACGTGAAAGTAAACTACGTGACTATGTGATCATATGAAATGTGATAAAGAGCTATGTGAAAGAACTATGTGATATGAATATATGAATGTGTAATGAGGTAAAAGATAATGCCCATGACATGTGTTATTAGAGCTATAGGTATAGTTGGCATGCCAAGAGTCGAGGGTCTACGTGGTCCTTCGGGACATAGTGGTCCTTCGGGACATATGTGTTATATGTGGTCCTTCGGGATATCTACGTGGTCCTTCGGGACAAATTCTACGCGCTCCTAGTGGGATTTATACGAGCTGTGGTGACAGCATAGTGCACAACCTCTATGTACTCACGTACCTTAAGTTCTCAATAGTGTGCATGGGCTTTGAAAAGAAACCATAATTTGATATAATGATATGTGTGTTTCTCGTGAAATGGTACATGTGATATGCGATATGTATAAGTGATAAGTTAGGATTATATGATAATAATGGTAACAAGTGTATATGGGTAATAGTGATATGAGATGTGATATAGTTATGTATGATATGATCATAGTAATTATCCATGTATTGTTGTGTTTGAAGTTATATTATATGTTTATGTTCAATATATGCTCATATGATGGAATTGAATCAATGATAAGTAAATAAGTAAGGATAAACCGGTAAGTGATGGGTTTAATATGTATATAAGTATAATATGTGTTTTATGGGATGTTCCTGCATTTGTTAGTTTACTTTATGTATTTTACATGTCTCACTAAGTCTATGACTTAGCGTGTAAGTGTTTTACACGTAGGGTGGATAAGTCAGAAGATCAAGCTTCGGATTCGTAAAGCAGCATACCTCTGCGCAACGTTCAGATCAGAAATATTTTGTAAAGTATGTCTTGTCATATAATTTAGTATATTGGCATGTAACTAAGTCATTATATATATGTACGCTCTGATAGAGTATGTTGAGGTTTTAAATATGTTTATGTTAAAGAATTACTTTATAGAAAGAAAAAAAGTTTTAAATTTTCTATGGTTTTTATAAAAGTATATACTTTGACTGGTCAATGTGACACCTCGGACTCGTATCCGAGTCGGGTACGGGTTGAGGGTGTTACAAGCATCCTCGTAAGATGCTCACAAAATAACACCCGTTTATTGACAACTATCCATAAAGCATTCAACTTGGCCGTATCTCCAGTGTACAAAAAGGCAAGTTTTTAGCAGTTCATTGCAATCAAGGTATATTAAACTAATGCTAATTGTTAGTAAATAGTCTTCATAACCCACTATTTCAATAATTTAGAGGGAAAAACTGCTAAAAATTTATACAAAATCTAAAAAAGAAGAGAAAAAGGCATGTTAGTAATAAAAATTACCTGAACAGGCACATAACTGCTTGGAGCTGGTACGGGTGCCGGAGTAGGCATTGGAACTGGAGCAACAGGATAACATCCATATGGAGGAGGGGGAGGAGTTGGAGCCATATACCTACGGCAAATAAAACTCAACTTTAACAAGAAACATTGTAAATATAACTGAAATTATATACTACCAGGCAAACTTGATCATAGCAGTATACAACCCACATCCCGGCATAGCTTCTTACCCATGTGGTCCCCAAACAGGTGCAGGAGGGTGAAATGGAGGTGGAGTTGAATAAGGACTGTGGGAATAATTGCCACCAGTTCTCAATCGTTTGCTTTGATCATATGCATCAGAATCTGTTACTATTCCTGTAGAATAAATATCACAAAACATAAAAAGACTCTTGATCATGGAAGAATGTACATTTTATTTTTGTCACAATATCATATCACTATGTTTCTCTCCCTCCTCACCCACTTACAACTCCCACAGACCCACTCAAATACATTACAACCACATAAAGTGGTCGATAACCAAAAGACTAGATTGTATCTTAAAGGCTTCCCAAGGTAGAAGGATGTTCCACGATTTATATTTAGATTTTGAAAATATGAACAATTTACAAGAACTTGGAATCAAATAATTATTTAGTCAACAAGCATTGGGAACTTATGGCATTTCAGAAGAAAAAATGGAACTATTCATGTGTATAGAGATGATAAGCTGGAATCCTGGAACAGTCAACTGAGGGGATCATATTCCTGAGGGTATAAATTAACTTAAAAGAAGATACTAAAACTTTTCAATGGAAACTTCGAACTGTAACCACCTTAATAAATAAAACTAAATTTCAAGAAGCAAAAGAAAGAACCAATTGAAAATTTAGACTTGTGACAACTGAAGAACTACTATTTGGTCCAAAAGTTACAAAATTTGAGCTCTTCTTTGTCAAAACTCACGATATCACTTTGTTTATATTGCCATATGTGAAACAAACAAAAAAGGTCAGGAATGGAAACAGAAACAAATTTTATCAATTGCCACATTAGCTTATCTAAATGGAAAATTTCAAACTTCTGAATTAATGTTTCCAAAAGGGAATGGATGCCTCGAAACAAATATTCCACTTTTTTGAAGCCTCTATTCAATGAATAAGCTACAAAGAAATCACATATGACCATTACATCATAATGCCGACAAATATTATTGTTGGTTCACTTCCTTTTAACATTCCTGCTTCTCATTATTGTATGGAATTTAACACTCCAGATTACATATATTGGTATAATACCAAGAGTAGACATCTAAAATTGATGATTTAAAGCAAAACTACAGACAATATTTCAGCCACATTCAACCAAACTCTAGCTCTTCCTAAATATTTCCTTTCACAGGGATCTTGTGTACTTAGAACCATCATCTAATTGCCTTTCAAACATCATGATCATTTCTAACCAGATTATGCGTAATGCATTAATTTATCCAGTTTAACACACTATCTATCCGTGCATTTCTTTATAACAATGTAAAGTATTTTTCACTCTGGCATTAAACAAAGTGTTAAAATAACAACTTACCTCTTTTAACAAATAGATTTTTCTTTGCCATCTCTATGTGCAAAAGGGACTTTGACTCGGCATCAAAAACCATTTCCTAGCACAAATCCGAATCAAACCCAATCAGTGCTTTGAAAGAGAGTGAGATACCTTAGATGAGTAAAATAAAAAATGCCAATTAAATAAATCTATAATACTTGAAGGGCATCCTTAGCAGCAACTGCAAATCGCGCATTTGAGAAGAGAGCAAAACCCATTGGCTTTTCTCCCTTGTAGTTCACTTGCGAAGCTTCATAACCTGGAAGCCATCTCAGTAAATTCTGCAACTCTCTCTCTTTGACATCTTCAGGAAGACCCGTAATGAAGATAGTCCGAACCTAAATCCAGCACAAATAAATTACAATATCCAAGGAAAATTCAACGACCTTGCTTTAATACTTCAGTTTTTTAAATCTTCTTTGCTAAAAAACAAGTAACTAAATTGTCGTAATTTACATTCAAATAATGAAATATATGCAGTCAGTTATTAAATTAATTTAACTGATTCTCAAGTGCAAAATGAAATTCGAATATCTATATAAATTATCTATAAACAAATACTTTCATGGAGCGAATCCATGGACTACACAATGCTAAGCTGAAGAAAATAACTATTATATTAGTAGTTATTTATGCTGAAATCTCAAACATAGAACATTAGGGTTCGATTACCATCAAACATGAAATTCATGCAGAAATCTAAGGCTTGAAAAGGAAAAATATATGGAACTTGAGTAAATCAAGTGAGTGAAATACATAGAGAGTTGACCTCGTCATGAGAGGGAGCAGGTGGAGGAGGGTGGTGAACAGGAGGAGGCGCGGCCGAAGCAGCGGCTGGTGGTGGCGGAGGAGCTTGGACCGGAGGCCATTGCTGGTGATAAGGGTGGATTCCAGCACCCGCCATGTGAAGGGCTGAATAGAAAGTAGATTCCTGAAACCCTAAACCAAGACTCGAGGACGGAGAGAGGAGGAACTGATGATTCATATAATTAATAAAATATTAAGTCAACTATTCTTTCCTTAAAAAAACAAACCCTTTATAGTTTTTTTCAAGGAAAAAACTATTTTTATTTACGGAAAACTAAATTGTATTATTATAATAAAATAATAATAATAATTGCATTATTAGTTAACAAAAAATATTTTTTAAAATCAAAATTTATATATTTTATTTAAATCAAAATTTAGATATAATATGTAAAAATTTATAAACTGTATATTATTAATTAAGTTTATTTTAAACTAGTGTTATACGATAATAGGTATAAATTTAATCGATAAATTATTAATAGATCATTTTTTTAAATATAATAATAATAATTATATTATTTTTTATATTTTTACATAAATTAAAAATAATTAAATATCAAACATAATTTGTGTACGAGTTCTTTATTACTTCATTTATGATCATTTGTTAAATAATTTTTTATAAATATATATTTTATATGAAATATTTTATTTCACTCATATTATAAGTGTGGTAAAATTTAATATATACAGTAATATTAATTAAATTTATCCTCACTTGACTCAATGACTTCAACTCATTTAAAAAAAATACATAAATATCAATTATAAAATATATTTAATAATTTTTCATGACAAAATTAGGAGAAAGACACAAATATTAGTTTTTTTATTATTCTTAAAAATATTTTTAAATTAAAAAATTTAATCATAGATAAATAAGTGAATGTTTATAGATAAATAAATGATTTATCTATTTTTTTAATGTTATGGATATTCACACTAATTTATATCATTTATAATATGTATTTTGAATATCCATAATTAAATTATATTATAATGTTTTTAAAATTTGAATTTTTTAATTCGATGATCGATGAAACTAATTTTTCTTGAAAAATAAATAAATAATTATGTGAAATTTGAAGAATTTTGATAAATAGTTGAAAGAAATATCTTTAATTTGTAATTTGATTAAAAAATAAGAATAAGTGGGAAAGATCTTTTATACATTGTTATTTTAATATGGTGTAGTATAGATTATGCACTTAAAAAAATATTGTTGTATTACTAATTATGTAATTAAATAATATTATTATTTTAATGTGATATAGATTAATTATGCACTTTAATGATATTATTATTTAAACATGAAGTATTACTAATCTGTATTTGGATAATATTATCATTTTATATGATATAGTATTGGCTAAATATAATATTTGTTTTTTTTAATATAGACATAGAAGAAGCACATATTTTTAATAATTCATTAAGATTATACCAATCAAATACAATTATAATATCAATTAGTCAGGATTAGTGTAACACGCAGAACTCGACCCGAAATATCTAACGGTCTAAGGGAATCACGTTTGGATCACCAGAGTGATTTTCGACTTAAAGTTTCAAGCTAAACATTTTTTTATATTAAAACCAATAAAAATAAAGATCACATATAAAATAAAGATCACATTTTTTTGTTACAACAGCTGAAGGGAATATTACAAAATACAGACGATGATATTTATATAAATATCACATATAAAATAAAGATGTTGTCACAGATAAAAATCAAAAGTATTACTTATATATATAACAGATGGGTTGCATGTGCATCAAATATTGGGTATCCAAATAGTCTCGCGCCACTAAGGCCGTATGATTATAATATCGGGTGTCCGTATTGTTTTCCCGATCGCCACTAAGGTCGTTCAAAATAATAGTGCCCATAAGGTCGTGTATAGTAATACTTACTATTACAATCACATACATCATTTCAGAGAGTACAGAAAGAATATACAAATAATACTAGTGATGGTAATCACATGACTAAATTATAAAATTTAGAAATAAACACATGTAAACTTATACCTAGCACAGCGACTAAAATAAATAACATACAAAAAGAAGGTTTCATCGAAACCTTAAACTCTCTGTTTGTTTCTTTCATTTCTGCTTCACTGCTCGTATTCCTTTCTATTTGTTTATCCTTTAAAGCCAGAAGGTTTCATCCTTTTTTTTATATATATAAAGCTTAACTAAATTATAAACCTAGTTTATAATATTATAATCTAATGTAAACCACAATTACATTATCCTTATTATTATTTTCAAACTTTAAAGATTTCATAACCAAATCAACATAAGCATATTAAGCAACCAAGCACCACATTACCACATACACGGAGCACATCAATTTTTTATGTTATTAATCTATATGTAAAAAATCGACAAACTGCAAATTAAAATCGAGTGACGTAAAAAAATTATATACGAATGCAAATTGTGTATCCAAATATAATCTAAGAGTCCCAAGTAGAGAAGATCATCATGATAACAAATAAGTGTCATCTTGATCAGTGGTGACGATGTCAAATTCAATCATAAGAAAAAAAATAAACGAAAACAACAGTCAAATGACAAAAAACGAGCCATAAAAAGTAAAAAAAATTATTTTAAAGACAGAGGAAGACGTGTTATAAATGTAAAGTTATTAAAAATAAAAAAATAAGAAAAAAAAAAGCAATGATGCACTATAATAAGATAAAAGAAAAGAACGAATATCATCTATCAACTATTAATACCAAAATTGATGCCATCGCCTACTACAAAAATAAGAAAAAAGAAAGAAAAAAAAAAAGACTACCGATGGTCAAAGAGAAAGAGATAAATCTTGGGCAAATCTTGGTCACCAAAGTTTGGATGAAAATCTTCTGAAAAATATTTTTTTTAAAACGTGAGGCAAAATCAAGAAGATGAAGAGAAAAAGATGATGGCAAAGAATTTGTGCAGCTGATGTTTTTCATGAGTAAGAAGATTACGTTTCCTAACTTCAATACTTAAGCTAAAACCAAAAATTTAAGCTCAATTCTCATCTAATTAAATTTAACCTTAACCTATTAATACCAATTGGGACCACTACCATGTCTTTATTGTCTTTGAAATTCACATCGTTATAGAAAAATGAGATTTTCAAATAAAAAATAATATACAAATTCAATTTCACAGAGATAAATTATAAAAACTTAATTTAGATTTTAAAATAGTACAAGGACTCGTGATATGTTAAACCTATTCTGGCGTGTAGTCAAACCCCGCTAAGAATTCTTGCCACCATGCTTGGTTGTTGGTGATAACTTATTTGGTAAACTATAAGTTTAGTATCTAAACTATTAGTTTTGTTTTGTTTTAGTATCTAAAATTTCTTTTATTTTAAAACCATATCTAAGTTTAATTTTTGTTTATTTTAGTACCCTGCTGGTCACTAAATTATTTTATCACTCTTATTTTAGTTACTAAAATTTATTTATTTTTAATTTAATTATTTAACTTTTAAATTGCTCTTAATTTAATCATTATATTTTCAAATTTATTTTTTATTTTAATTATATATTAATAAAATAATAAAAGATATCATGTTACAAAAATTATTTTTTTTGTACAAAAAAAATTTAGGTCAGGAGTGACTCCCGACAGAGCATACTTAAGACCTAATTAAGATTTACATAGAAATTTACATATTATCTATTAAGAGTGACAGTAATAAAATTCAAACTTGATATTAAAAGCTTAAATTCAAACTCATTTTATCTTTGGAACTACCACTAAATGGATGTATATAAACATCTTATAGAACAATATTTAACCAAAACCATATTTCCCTCCACTCCACTCTCAATATCTTCAAATTCCACAACGCAAACTTGAATTTTAGTCCATAGCCATTATAGAACTCAAATGCAGTGTTACTACGGGAGAAATGCACCTGAAAAATCTCTCTTCCATCCGTAAACTATATCGACTCATAATTACCCCTCTCAAATGTTTTCACACCACTTCCCTTCACGTCCCAAGTTCCCGACTTCCCTCATTGTTGCAATCTTCTTTTTCCCCTTTAAATCTTCAACATGGCAAACAGGTTCACGCCCAGCTCATCCTCAATGGAATTACTACCGCTAATCCCCTCCTTTTGGCCATGTATCTTCGTTGTGGTAGCTTTACTGATGGCAAGAACCTATTTTATCAGATGGATTTAGGGTGTATAAAGCGTTGGAATTTGATGATTAGAGGATTAGTTAATATTGGTAGCTTCCATTTTGCCTTGTTGTTTTATTTTAAGATGTTGGGTTGTGGAGTTTCTCCTGATAATTTTACTTTCCCTTCTGTAGTCAAGGCTTGTAGTGCTTTAAATAATGTGAGATTTGGTACCTCGATTCATGAGTTAATTGTGTTAACGGGTTTTGAAGGTAATGTTTTTGTCGGTAGTTCTTTGATCGGTTTGTATGTTGAGAACGGGTATATTAATCTCGCTCGTAATTTGTTTGATAAAATGCCGGTAAGAGATTCTGTTTTGTGGAATGTGATGCTTAAAGGGTATGTCAAATGTGCGGAATTAGATAAAGCCGTAGAGATTTTGAGGAAATGAGGAAAGGCGAAACAAAGCCAAATGAGTTGACATTTGCCGCTATTTTTCTGTTTGTAGTTTGAATGGAATGGTGAATTTCGGTACTCAGCTTCACGGCCTTGTTGTTAGCTGCGGTTTGGACTCGAATTCTATGGTGGTAAACACGATTCTGTCTATGTATTCAAGATGTGGTTGGTTGTCTGATGGTCGTAAATTGTTTGATATGATACCTCACGCTGATTTGGTGTCTTGGAATGGAATGATTTCGGGGTATGTACAGAATGGTTTTATGGAAGATGCTTTGAATTTGTTTAATGAGATGATATCTTCTGGTGTAAAACCTGACCCAGTCACCCTCTCAAGTTTTCTTCCGGTTGTTACCGTGATGAGAAGTTTAAGTAAAGGTAAGGAAATTCATGGATATATATTAAGACATGGAATCCCTTTAGATATGGTCTTAAAAAGTGCACTTATTGATGTATACTTGAAATGCAGGGGTGTGGAGATGGCACGGAACATTTATAACCAAAGCAACAAGGTTGATATTGTCATGTGTACAGCTATGATTTCAGGATATGTGCTTAATGGGTTGAACAATGATGCTTTAGAGATTTTCAGGTGGCTACTTAGGGAGAAAATCCGGCCGAATGCTGTAACACTGGCAAGTGTTCTACCCGCTTGTGCAGATTTAGCGGCAATAAAAGTGGGGAAGGAATTGCATGCTAATATCATCAAAACTGGGCTTGCTGATAGATGCCATGTGGGGAGTTCTGTCATAGACATGTATGCAAAGTGTGGAAGATTGGATCTTGCTCATCGTGTTTTTGGAAGGTTGTCTGAAAGAGATTCTGTTTGTTGGAACTCAATGATCACTAGCTGTTCCCAAAATGGAAAACCTGAGGAGGCCATTGATCTCTTCCGTCAGATGGGGAGGACTGGAACCAAGTACGACTGTGTGAGCATATCAGCTGCTCTTTCTGCTTGTGCCAATCTACCAGCACTGCATTTTGGGAAAGAGATCCATGGGTTTATGATTAAAAGTTCACTCTTTTCTGATTTATTTGCTAAGAGTGCACTCATTGATATGTATGCAAAATGTGGAAACTTGGGTTTCGCTCGGCATGTATTTGACATGATGGAAGAGAAAACTGAAGTTTCATGGAATAGTATCATTGCCGCTTATGGAAACCATGGCCTCCTTAAAGATTGTCTTGCCCTGTTCGATGAGATGTTGAAAAATAAAATTCAGCCTGATCATGTTACCTTTCTAGCTATAATATCTGCTTGTGGTCATGCTGGTAAAGTTAATGACGGAATTCATCACTTCGAGAGCATGACAAATGGATACGGAATCCCACCTAGGATGGAACATTATGGATGCATGGTAGATTTATTTGGACGTGCTGGTCTTTTGAATAAGGCTTTTGAAACCATACAGAGCATGCCGTTTCTCCCGACGTGGGTGTTTGGGGTACATTGCTTGGAGCCTGTCGAAACCATGGAAATGTTGAGCTTGCTGAATTGGCTGCAAGACATCTTTTTTATTTGGACCCCCAGAATTCCGGTTACTATGTACTGCTTTCGAATTTACTTGCTGATGCCGGACATTGGAGGAGTGTGCATAAGGTACGGAGTTTGATGAAGGAAAGAGGAGTTCAGAAAGTACCTGGATACAGTTGGATAGAGGTCAGCAACACCACCCACATGTTTGTTGCTGCAGATGGAAGTCACCCACAGTCCAAGCATATTTATTCATTGCTGAAGACTCTTCTTGTAGAGCTAAAAAGAGAAGGATATGTTCCTCAGTTTTATCTTCCAATGTGCCCAAACGATATGGTGTCATGACTGTCACTTCCACCTCCGTGCTCGCAACCGGAATCAGAGATAAATTTTTAGCCCGGGAACCACAGGCCGCATCGGTACATTAGCAACGCAAGTTTTTGAGGTATGCTCACTGCTCGGACACCTTTGAATTCCATATTGAAGTATACATTGCATGTGGAGTTTGGAGACAAAGGTTAGTTGAGTCAAAAAAGAAAAAGACAAAAAGAATGTGAGGTAAATTTAAATCATATTGGCATGAAGGCAAATGTTATTTAAGCATGAAGTAATGAATTGGAGGATGATGAAATAACAATACCTGTAGGCTAGAAATATTAGATATAGAGAATAGAGCAGAGAGTATAATGATTTGTTGAACTGTTTAGATTTTGAGTATGGAATAAATGTGCAAGTTGATTGCTGTTTTAGCCTTATAAGTTTTTTACCATCAACTAGTTGATCTATTGGGATGAAACACTAGATCCTTTATGCAAGATCAGGGGTTTGAATCCTGATATTTGCGAATAGAACAAACTAAGTTAGGAGTCGTCATTGTCTCTACAGTATCCAATTGGGATAATCGGGATTAATATTATGTTATGTGTTTATCAATGATTGGTCTAAATATTTTTTATAATTACTTAAAATAAATATTTATCTTTTTATTTTTTTTAAGATTAAAGATGAAATTGAAAAAATAATAAAATGTAGAGGATAAATTCTGCTATTATATATTAACTAAATGGATCATTTTATTTTTATGACGACACGTATTGATTTTTGATTGGTTCAGAGGACATCATATTCTATTTCAGAAATGACTAGATCACATAAATGAGTAAATCAGTCAATGACGGAAAAGTTCATGTATAAAATTGAGAATGAAAAAAAAATTATATGACATTAAGGAATCTAATGTAATTGATACGAGGATGAGAGAGGTCAAACTATCCATGGGTGACTTTTTGTAAGACTGGAATATAAACAAACTTGTGGTCACTTTTTGGATATGATCTATGTGTTTATCGGTCCGCATGTCTTCTCGTCTCTTAATGGCCCAACGCATGAAACATGTCAATTTAATGTCGAGAACTCAAGTACATCCATTTTAACGAAGACAATGCATACAGAAATTCTTAAGCAATGATATGAAATTCTTTCCCCTTTTTCCACGTGTCTTGTAACGTAAATTTCATGTCATTGGTGCCATTAAGCTTTTAACTGTGGGTATTAAATTAAAACTTTAATTAAACATTAGATATGATTTTAAAAAATTATGTACTAAAACAAAAGTGATAGTTTAAGTATTAAACATGTAATTTGTCTTAGTTTTTTTAACGCCATGTAACTAAAATAAAACAAAAATAATGTTTGATGTAATTTTGAAAAAAAATAATAATTATGTGACCAAAATAGAAACTAAGTGATAAGCATGTGACCAAATAGGTAGTTTATCCAAAATTTTACTATTTTAATTATTTGTTTGAACAGTTGAACAAGATTCCAGTTTGGCCCAAGTAACTTTGCCCAAAATTTCCATGGACAGGTAGAGGCAATAGCAGAGTGATATAAATTTATGATTAACAGTACAAGCAATAGTAAAAAACCATAGGATCCAAATGTCTCCAAGTAGCCTTTCATATTACTGAGAAAGCACTAAACTAGCCAACAATCTCATAATTGATCATACACATAACAAATTGTGTACACAACAAAAAACCAACTGCACATCTTCAACCAACTGATTGCACCGCTCTTTCGAAGCTGTCTTCTGCGGATGCTGCACGCTTGACAAGAATGTGCTCTGGGTGTGTGAGTTTCAGTTGGCTACAAAGTAGTAGTAAGACGCAGGGTTAGGGTTGGGAGCATTTGGTGAATATGGACCCCACAAATAGATTGAAAGGATGGCTAAATCTCAGTTTAAAAACGCACGCTTAAGCCCTAACCTTCATTACCAAACAAGGCCGCCCAAACCAGGATCCTCAGAGTTTGGCGTGCAGATACGAATATATATGCTATTTTGTTAGTGTTGCACAACATTCAATAGAAACATAGAAGAAAGGATGCTAACACAGCAAATACATATATATGTGCTATTCTTAATTACCATCTACAATATTGGACCCGATAATCAATCTGCCAAATGTAACTACAGAACACTTTTTTTGTCATCAGCTTAGAAACATAAAATCATGTTATCGCATAAAATTATACATGAGCCAACTAATACGAAGCCAAAACTTCAAAAAATATTCCAAACTGAGTAGGGAGTATTTAACAAATAAAAGCTAGGACAAACAAGGATAGAGGATATGAATGGCTAGTTTACCTTAGGTAACGTGAAGTTGATTTACCAAGGTGTAGGCTGCATACAACCATGTTGGCCAGAGTTTCAGAATCCTTGGCGTCCTATATCCATTGACAAACAACCACTTATCACATAAAATTATATATGAGCCAACTAATATGAAGCAATGGAACTCGAGTGAAATATTCAGTGTCATGATGAATCCAAACCTTTAAAATTGACAGGAATACAAGGAACTAGAGGAAAATCCAAGACTCAAATTCAATATCATTTAAATTCACTCAAAGGTTATATCAACAAATGAAACTTGACGCATATCAAGTGTGGCAGAGTAATTTAAAATCATGAAACACATTAAGTGTAGTCAGTGCTGTTCATGGGGAGATAATCAGAGCAAAGAATTGCAAATTCATGGGTTTAAATCTAGCAAAAACAAAAATTTGATTTCCCCCACTAAAGCTTGCCTTATTAAGTGCTTCAAGTAGCAGTGTTTCAGCCTCATCAAAGTTCCCCATGTGCATACAGCAGACAGCCTTCCCATTTAGGATCAATCCAGTCATTGGATATTTCTCAGAGAAATCTTGGAAGATGAGATATGCTTCCTGTATCTTGGAACCACCCTGATTTGGTAGAATAACATGTTACACCGTTCCATCATGGTTTCTCACTTGCAGTATTATCTAAATGAAAATTATGCCATACCACTGCCAGATTCAACCATGCGTTTGCTAGTTGAGTCAATGTATGGTCCTCATCAATCTGCTGCATGACTCTAAGTTGTCTTTCTGCATAATCTGACCGGTGCATCTTAATGAAGATTTGCACATTCAATGCATGGCTGAAAACGGATAGCAGAAAATTTCAACAAATAAATCAAAGCTTCCAATTTACATGTACGAATATAAGTTGCTGATCTGCTTTAGCAGTCTCAAGAGTCAACTCAAATTCACTAGAAGGAACAAATACTTTTTCAGAGGCCCATTAAATGGAACATTTGCATTCTCTAGAGGAATTCGCATCAACTCCTATTTTACATCTGTGAGTATATTTGGTACGGGGATTTTACAAAATAAACTTCTCGTAGAAATGCAATATTAGGCCAACATGCTATACAAACTTATGCATGTAATTTTCTTCTATGGTAAAAATGACAGAACCTGCATAGGCAAGAAATATTTTATAGTTACCGGCTTATGAATTTACTTAATTACTATTTATCTATCAGCAAATTTCCAATTAAAATTAATCAAAAGTGGGCACTGTGAGCCATTCATGCAGCATCCCAGCCAATCAGACTGCTAGGGTATGAGGTAAACTGAATGAACTAAAAGTTGCAAAGCCAATGCCAGAGCAACCATGATTATGAAGTGAACAATATTCATATCCCATCGGCCTTCGGCAAAACTTCTTAAAGCTGGTGATAGTTAGGTGATGTACCACTACATGGGTTTAACTAATAATTTTGCCTTTTATTTAATTAGCCTTATATCAAAAAGTTTTCCTTCAGCATCCGGGTCATAGGGTGTCAAGAGCTTCAAAGCATGAATGTCCATATTCTTTTGTACCAACTAAACTCATTAAAAATGAATAATTGTACAGATATATTTCCCTCTAAACATAAAATTGTAAGCCGGCAGAAAAAATAAGCAAGAGCTAAATCTATGCAGTTAAACAATAAAACACTATATATTAAGTTTTTTTTTTATTAAGCTAATAAGCTAAAGGTGATTATACAGCAATATTTGTTCTAAGTACTCTCAACCATTTGACAATGGACGCTTAATCACCCTTGCAGTCGCTTGTGCTCGAACCCATGACCTCCAGGAACAACAATAATTCCTTTAACCACTGAGGTAAGATGGTTCGTGCCTCCGTATTATGTTACAGTGGAAGAAAAAGAGCATATCTCAAAGGTCACAATAAGCTCATACAAGTGGATTCATAAGGGGAAAATTCAACAAAATCCAGCCGATATATACCAAGAATTTTGTCCTATACTTCAGGTATTTGCTTTTTAACTATACCAAAGCAATATTATTCACCTCAGACCACAAACATAGAAACAAGGCAAATGGGTTGGCTGAAGAATGCATTATTAAAAATGAAGAACAATATGCAAGTCAGGTATCAACCAAATGTAGATCTTCTTGCACTACTTCCAAATACAAACTTACAAGTTGCTATTCACTACAATGGTGAATATATAGCAACATCGACAGTATTTAAATTACATACAGAGAATACCTTACTCAAACTTTCCCACTGTTGTTGTATCTTGAAAATTGAAGAGATAATCCTTATCATCTATTTAGATATAGGATCTGTTTGTTTAGATCTAAAATCTTTTATAATATGTTGTTCTCATGCAAAATATAATTTTCAATTTGTGGATGATCTACTGGTATAAAGTAAAACAAATAGGTGAAACTCAATATAAAGCTACTGCACCTATTTTCATCCATTTAAACTGGGAAGTGGGGCATCATTGATATATTGTAACTGGTCTCTTTTTAATAGGAAATAACATCCTAAGCTCATTTTGATGCAAGTTTCTCTATTAAATGGATCGTTTCTTAGGGCCACAAAGAATAGTTCAGGAACCATCTAAAGTCTAATCCTTAACATTTACACCACCTGCATCAGTTGATTTTCCCCTCAAGAGGACAGGTTAGTAATTTTCTATTATCAAACGTCTGAACTTTAGCACATTGAACTTTGCAAGTGATAATTTTGGATCAACATGAAATACAGAGGAATTAGAGCTGTATAAAGGTTGATTATATTGATTCATGTAGAATTTGGTTGGTATTATTATTTCAAACCAACCTCAAGTCCTTCCTTCTTAACTTTGTTTCCTGGTTTCCCTTACTAGTCTCAAGCTACATAAAGGGAGATGATTTTAGCCTATCTAATGAGCCTTACTATGCATAAAACTTCAAGCCGAAAAACCTAAAGAAGTAAAGATCTAATGATTTTGACGGTCAAGAAGGCTAGATGAATTAAAAATACAACAAATATTCACCAATTTAAACATATATAGAACAAAGAACAAGAATCAATGACTTATTTTGACATCAGCAATAATAACAGGATGCAAGCACAAATGAAAATAAAGTTGAATGAGAAAACTCACAGTTCCATGGTGCCACCAGCATTGGTGTGTTTAAGAGCTTCATTATAATCTTCTTCATTCATGAAAACGATTCCAGCAATCAACCTTAATGTGGCATTGTTTCCAATTGCTGGATCTGCCAACCACTCTTTCAAGCTCGCAATTATTGACTCCTAAATGCGACAATTCAGTACAACCCAACCGTAAATCCCCATCAAAACAGCATACTTTTCCCGTTCATTTAGCAGATCTTTACTTATAACAACAAAATTCAAGCAGATCTAAAAGGAAATTCACCTTATCGTGAGGGTTGGAGAGATATTGGGCCAGTAATTTAACGGCTTGGAGAGGAGTGGCGGCGGCGGAGTCGATCTCATTGATCACCAGCTGAGATTTGAGAAACGAGAAAGAGTATTAGAAATTGCGAATATTTTACGCGGGAGAAGAAAACGAAATGGAGTAGAAAGAGGGGAGGAGGTGCCTGGTAGCTGCCGAGGGCGATGTAAGAGCGGTAGACGAGGCAGTCGCGCTCGACGGCGTCGTCGGGGGAGAGGTTGGGAAGATCGCTGTTGTTGATGGCGGCCTGGTATGAACCCAAGTAGAAATTGTTCCTCAAATTGAACAAGTGATCTGGTGCTGCCATTTTCCCTAACACAAATCTCAAATCAACTACAAAGGTTTTTCAGTTTTTTTTTTCTTTCAGATTTTTAAAATCTGTCTAAACTCCTTCCCTCTCTTCGCTTTCTATAATATATCAGACAGATCTACCACTATTGGGTGTTTCGCAATTTTTATTAATTAATATAAAATTATTTATAAATTAAAATTTATTAAGTTAATTATTTATTTGGGAAAACTACTTATTTGATCATTCACCTATTTCCGTGTTTATATTTTGGTCATCCAAATATTTTTTATTCGGCTTAATATAAAAATAAATGTCCAAAATATTTCCGAGTTATTTATGAACCGAAATAAGCTACTTGATACTTAACTCGAAAAATATAATTATTAATAATATTATAAATACATTTAAAAATTTAAATTATTAATAATATTTACATTTACGTGTTTTTTTAAATATAATATAATATTTTTATGTACTTAAGTTTCCGATCCAAGTTCGAACTTTAGCTTCAGTCGAGTTAATTTTAATTTTTTTTTATTTCAAGCTTTCCGAACTTCAAACTTAAAAATTTTAAAATCAATGAATTTTCAAACCGAAATCAAGTTCCAATTTGATGAAGCAGAGTTATGAAATGGTGGGAATGAGCATGCAAGTGCATGTTGGACAAATGTTGAGATTTTACAGCACTTACGTTTGCTTTTCACTGTACTCAGGTAGGGAGGTTTAATGCCACTGCACTCATTTCAAAATTCGACTCATCTCTTTTTGTTGCATTTAATCCGTAAATCTACATGCATTGAAAATCTGAAAACGCGGCACGATCATCAAGAACAGGAGATCATCGCAATTCACAGATCATTGCTTCCATTCAATTCAATGGCAAATTTTCCCTCTATATAAACCACAATGGATATGAGATTTAGCAGTAAACAGTTATGGTTCGTAGAAATAGTGGAAGCTCGCTGTTTTCAAGCCTAGTACTGATCCTGGTTCTGCTCGTCCAGAGCGACGCAGCTCGTCCTCGTCAGCTTGGGACGACGGCGGAGTTGGTGGTGCAGAATAGACAGGAAGCTAAGGGAAACTATAGGGAGATGAAGAACTTGCCACCTTTTCCTTTTCCGTTCCCGGACATGCCGTTTACGCCACCACTTCAGCTGCCGCCATTGCCGTTTACGCCACCCGGTCCTCCGTTTGCTGGTTTTCCTTTACCGCCTTTCCCTTTTCCTCCCATTCCTTTCCTCTCACCTCCTCCTATCTAAAAACCCTAGTTATCTATAACCATATAAGCTACCTTATGATGTTTCACAATGCTCTGATCTCTCTGATTTTAGTTGAAGTGTTTTGCATCTTCATGCTGTTTAGTATTGTGTAATTTAATGACCAATAAAGGTTTGTCCTGTTTCCTTGTTAAAAAGATTACTCTTCTTCTTTTACGACGAGATGGATAGATATATGGAGACAGACGCAGGTATTTTCACTCAGAAAATCAGAAAGGTTCCAATACTCATTATGCATGTAATATCCAACGACAAACGATATGGACAATTATTGATTTTAGGGAAGAAAAAGAAGAGATTTAGAGGGTTTTTAAGTATTAAATATTTTATTTTTATAAAAATAAAAAAATAAAATAAAATTAAAAATTATATCACCTGTCAAACAATGATTGGGTGACATTTTTTAACGAACGTTAATAATTCAATCTTAAAATGATAACAGAATGAAACATGAGACATTTACTTTGATCAAAAACAATTTATACGCCTAAATGAAAAAATGTTTAAATGCAACATTACCCCTTGAATTATGATTTTCATATAAAGTTGATCCCTAAAATATTTTTTATTACGTTTTGTCCCATGAAGTTTAAATAATTGTTTTATTTAGCCCCAATTGTTTCATGTTAAAAACGTGAGGGTAAGTTAATCACTCAATTATTTGCACAATTTCGTTTTGTTATTCAACTTTTTTTTTTCAAAATCATTACTAAAGTTAAATTTTTGTTTTGTTTTGATCATCTATTTCAGTTCGATTTATTTTTTAAGTTTATAGTATATAAGAATTTATTTATGTCAATTTTTTATTCGACGCACAAATTTAATTTATATAAATAAATAATATTATAACATAAATAATATATTAATTTTTTATTAAACTAAAAATAATTATAAAATAATATATATTTCAAATATTTTTAACTATTTGACAATGAATACTCAATCATCTTTGCAATCGTTGGTACCCTTAACCTCTAAAAATAATAATGATTCCTTTAACCATCGAAATAAATTAGTCATACAACAATATATTAAATTATTTGTCCTATGAACATTTTTACATCATTTTGTGATTTATGGATAATTTTATTGACAAAGAAAATTTGTGCAAACTTGAATGACAATGTGTGTGCTGCAGTTTATCCAAACAAAAATTCGTTATTGCCAATGTGGAAACACCCAAAATACCCTCCAACTACAGGCTCCGAACACTGTAGTTGCTCGCCTCCCTCCTCCCTCTCTGTCACAATTCCGCAAACCCTAACTCTTCTATAACCTAATTGCGGCTTCCTTTATCTTCTTATTTGTTTCTCTATTGATTTCTTTAACGACCGACTTTCCTTTTCTTTTTTTTTACTATGTTTCTGTTTGTATGTAAATGATTACTTCTTTTCCCTGTTTATTTGATTTCCTAAAGAGGAAACTATGTCAGAAGTGGCTAAAAAGGAGACCCAACAGCCAACGCCACCGACGTCTGATCGTAAAGGAAACGGGGTGGCGATGTCGCAGAGCATGACGACGATGCACCGGTTAAGGCTGAACCCTAACACGGAGCACAAGCCGGAGAACTACGAGGGCTTGCAGTTGGAGTTCAGTCCGCTTTTGTTCAGCTCCCTGGAACGTTACTTGCCTCCTCCAATGCTCTCACTCTCTCGCGATTCGAAGCTCCATTACATGCGCGATATTATCCTTCGTTACTCTCCTGAAGGCGAGCGTACACGCGTTAGCTTCCTTTCTCCTTTTATTACCTTTATTTTTTGGGTTTTTATCACTATATGTTTTGAATTTCAGGTTCAGATATTTATTTCCTTTAAAATGTATGTTGTTATGAAATAATAACATGTTATTGAAGGTGAAAATTGGATGAATGTTATTGTTTATAATACAATGCAATACAAAGAATATGTTTATTATTTTATAACTTTGATCTCAAGAAATTGAAAATGTTCATGCTGGCTTTAACTCCATTTTTTGATTGGTTGTTAACAGGCTCAAAGGCAGCGAGAATACAGGCAAAAGATTACAACACACTATCAGGTATTGTTTGAATTCTTAATTTATATCTGAAATATAGTGTATTTTCTTCGTAAGGCTTATATATATATGTATGTATGTATATGTACTTCCCCCCTTAAGTTATCTCTACATTTTGCAGCCTCTGCATAAGGAATTGTATACCATGAATGCTTCAAACTTCTTTGTGCCGTCATTTCTCAAAGCAATTAATGAGAATAAAGAGGAAAGTTTTAGAAGAATAATGACTGAACCCTCCCAAGGAATTTTTACTTTTGAAATGCTTCAGCCCCATTTCTGTGAATTGTTGTTATCTGAGGTTAGATTATTGATGCATTCTCTCTTGCTAAATTTTGCTTTTAAGTTTCTTGTTTTTTAGTTTTTATATTTTCTTATCAGGTTCTGATTGCTTAGGTAGAGAACTTTGAAAAATGGGTCCATGAGACAACTCAGAATCATGCGACCAAACACAATGAACAAATTTGGTGCTGTTTTAGTTGATTTTGGTCTGGAGACCATGCTTGACAAGTTGATGGAGGACTTTATTCGACCTATATCCAAAGGTATTTAATTTCCATCCATCATGAGATTGTAAATGTATGCTACCTAGACAATTTTTTAATTTATTAGTTTCGGAAAATGGTCTGCAGTTTTCTTTTCTGATGTTGGTGGATCTACGCTGGACTCTCATCATGGTTTTGTTGTTGAGTATGGAATTGATAGGGATGTCGAGCTTGGTAGGTTCTAACTTCTTTCTATGTTTTTTTCTCAATTAACTGCTCTATCAGGTATTCGAATGATAAAAGTTTATATTTTATAATGTAAGCTGGAACTATATAAACCTTAGGAGATTAAAGCATTGGCTAAAACAATAGGAAAAAATTAATAATTCTTTTGGATTCTACAGTTCCAAGTTATCAGATGGTATTGCACGATATAACTTTCTGAATGTCTCTTGACTTTCTCATGCATTGCTCACTACTTTTTTCCTTTATTAAATGATGGCATGGGTCATTTTGTTACATTTCAAATTCCTTATCTATCTTTTCTTGAACTCCTACACTATCAATATGATCAGCTATCTCTTTCTTCCAAATATTTTAATTTTTGTGCACATTAAATCATTGATGCTTGTTCCAATGAACTTCTTGTGTATAATACCACTGAATTATTACTTAATTGCTGCTAGAGGTTTTTTAGTTTAAAATCTTCTTGTTAAAGTTGTAGCTTCACAAACTTCTGTAGCTTTGTGTTTGTAGGTTTTCATGTTGATGATTCAGAAGTCACCTTAAATGTTTGCTTGGGTAAAGAATTTACTGGTGGGGACTTGTTCTTTCGAGGTGTTCGTTGTGATAAACATGTTAATACAGAAACTCACAAAGATGTATGCTATTCCTTACTATTTTTTTTTCTTTTACTGTTAATTTAAAGCACATGAATTGAAGCTTTCCTGGGGCTTAATTATTCAGCTATAATTGCTGCATGTTCAGCAAAGCATTAAGATGAAATTTAGTTTCTGTTTGATAAAAAGTTCCCTGTAGTAGCAAGTGAACAAGAACTGACTGCCCCATGTCACACAGCGCCCTCCCCTCCATTTATTTAGTTATTTATACAATTTTCAAGTGATGAATCATGGTAATATCAAGATAGCCTATTCTGCTCATTTATTGTGTTCTCTTTTTCTTGTGCATTATAGGAAGTCTTGGATTATTCTCATGTTCCAGGACGCGCTGTTCTTCATTGCGGGCGCCATAGACATGGTGCAAGAGCCACAACAACTGGAAATCGGGTCAACTTACTTCTGTGGTGCAGAAGGTGTATTTCTCTTGCACT